GAATTTGACCAAAGTAAAATGAAACATGTTCACACAACAACGTGTACACAAATGTTTCTAGCAGCTTTATTCATTATTACCCAAAACTGGAAACAATCCAAATGTCCTTCAACTGGTGAATGGATAAACAAACTGTAGTACTTCCATATGCTGGAATACACTCAGCAATAAAGACCAGTGAGCTACTGACACATGCAACAAAATGGATGAATGTCAGTGCATTACAGCAAATGAAAGCAGCCAGATTCAAAAGGCTTCATGCTGTACGATTCATCTATATGGCATTGTGGTTATGGGAACAGAACATTGATGAATGGCTGCCAGGGGCTAGGGGTGGGAGGAGGAGTTGGCTACAAGGAGCACAGAGAAATCTTGGAGATAATGATAATATTCTATATGTTGATTGTGGTAGTGGCTACACAACTGCATGTATTTGTCAAAACTCACAGAACCCTACGTGCAAGACAGGTGAATTTTACTGTGTATAAAGTATACTTTTTTTTTAAGATTTTATTTATTTGACAGAGAGAGAGAAAGCAAGCACAAGCAAGGGGGGAGCATGCAGAGGGAGATGGAGAAGTAGACTCCCCGCTGAGCAGGGAGCCTGATGCGGGTCTCGATCCCAGGACCCTGGGAGCATGACCTGAGCCGAAGGCAGACGCTTAACCAACTAAGCCACCCAAGCATCCCTATAAAGTATACTTTAATTTAAAAATACTTAAAAATAAAAATAAGCAAGCAATGACTTAATTTTAATTTACCAACAAGACCTGTCCAACCTTCTACCTTTAGCAGAATTATGCTTAAACCAAACACACTGACAGCTTGCCTATTTAAAAATACTCACAGAGAAGATTCTATAAGCCCAAATGATAGTATACTGTTACTCTACAAGACTTTAAGAATGGGCAACAAAAATCTGCTAGGGAACAAATAAAAGTAACTTGCATCTGTACTCAAAAACAAAACAAAACAAACAAAAAAACACCCCACCATAAAAATAAGCTTATTTTTCAAATCTGGCTTTGAAGTGCACTATGGCATGGAAACTTGGGCCTAATACTCATAAGGCAAGGAGCCAGGTGCCCAACATAGTCTGATGCATCATATCAACCAATCTGAAGAGGCAAACTACTAAAATGACTCAGGATGACTGTTCTAGATTCACAATAATGAAGAAGCCAACAGGATTTTCTTAATCCCATATTGCCTTGGGTCCTGAGACTGAGCAGAATTCATCATTATACACAGGGTAAGGCAAAGTCATTTCACAGGTGGAACTATAAGAGAAATAAGTTGGAATAAAACTTGGAATAAAAGAGAAAGGGTTAAAGAATACAAGTTTTAGGGGCACCTGGCTGGCTCAGTAGATGGAGCATGTGACTCTTGATCTCACGGTTATGGGTTTGAGGCCCACATTGGGCATAGAGATTACTTAAAATAAAACAAAACAAAACTACAAAGAATACAAGTTTTATTTCACCATACCTGTTGGCACATATACACACTATTTTGTACTGAACTGAACACACTATCATCCTAGTCTTCTTCTGTCTTACTCTGTCTCACTCTGAATATAAATTGCTCTGCCTTTCCTCCTTCCCTCATCTGTTTCTGTCTTCCAGAGAAATAGATCATTTTAATCTCCCTGAAGCTACAGGGTCAGATGGAGGCAGCTGTATCATAACAGAAAATACGAGGAGCTGAATTTCCAGTCTGGGGTGTCCCTGAGGGTCCAAACTTGGACCCTGAGACCATTACAAAACTGACCTGAGTTTCTGAGCCAAGTACAGAGTCATCCTCATCTCTGTGTGCACTGACATTAGTATCCACTACACCCAACACAGATACAAGTGCCAATAAAACATATTTTGAAGAAATATGCAGGCACTCATTCTAACAAATCCCAGAAGATCTCCCTTCTGAAAGCAAGCACTTGCCTCTTACAGTAGACCAATGATTTGGTAGATATAGTTTTAAGAGCCTGTATCTACACCTAGAGCACCCAAGATTTTAATACTAAGAACACCAAAATAGGTGATAACAATCAACCTTGCAAAATAAATAAATAAAAATAAATTTCAACAAGTACCACCCCACACAGAATTATTAACCCATACATCATGACTTATAGTGTATATACACAAATGAAATGGGAATTCCTCTGTGAGCAAATACTTTCAAGGGTTATATAATCAGAGTAATGCCCAATTTTCATTGATAACTCTGGGATACTAAGGGCATATACAATTTATTCACCCAAGTTGGGTTAGTCTGCATCAGTTTCCAAGGCTTTCATCAGAGAAGGTCTAACCTTTGAGATATTTCTTACCTCAGTCTATTTCAAGTATTATTAATAGGCCCCCTGCAGCTTATCATTGACTCAAGCACCTCGTGGCCTAAGCAAAGTCTGCCAAGAAAGAAAGGTCTCTAAGTCAAGAGCAGCATTAAGGCACCACAACCTGAAGTGTAAATCATTTACTGTGACCTTGTGGGGGGGAGGAGAAAAATCAACCACCAATATCACCTGGGGGTTTCCTCCAACATGCCAAGATGGCAATTCACAGTTGGTCAAGAGGCCGTGGCCAAACAAAAGGGAGAAAGAAAGCAATTATCCTGATAATTCATACTGTGCTTATATAACAGATGGATATTTTAATGAAACAATTCAGATAACTGTACCACTCTCCATTTCACAGAAGGACAATCAGTCACAAAGTAAATTGTTCGGCTACTGGCTGCTCCCGTCTCACATTCTGAATATAACCTTTTACGTACCTTAAGAGTTCTTCAGAGCATGGAGAGACATACTGTCACTCCACGGAAACTGACTTGTAAAAGAGTTCCTGAGGCAATAAAGGCCCCTTGTCTTGATTTAAACAAAGAGATAGTTTCTCAACAGAAGGTTTGTTTGGCTTCAAATCTTCAAGCAGCTTAATCTTTGGCTGAATTTGTCTAATACTGAGTATACCTATTCAACTCAACTCATTGCCAGGTCCATAAACAGGGACGAATGCCTATATTGCCTATGCAGGTGTCACTGTTGTTGTTAAAACCCTCACAGCCGTCATCTCCTTCCTCTCCTATTTCAGGAGATTACTGAATGGGAAGAGCATATAAAGTGAGAAGTTGTACTGCACGATCTGGGATGGTTGTTAAGATAGAAGGAAAGGCACCAAAAAGGTCAGTCTCAGAAGGGATCAGGAAAATGGTTACCTTGTATGAGAACGAGATCTACCAGAGTGACCTCAAAGCAGGTGCTTTTCTCAGGGCATTATTAAAATATATACAGCAAGGACCAGATTCAGGTAGCAGAGTCACCTTAGAAGAAACAGGGCTACTGAGTTGCACTAAGAAAACTGTGCTTTGATAGAATAGTGATTCAGTAAAGAAGCACATGGACCAGAAACTGGATTCTATTTCTCTATCATCTATGAACCCAAGAAATGGTTCGTTCCAGAAACCAGATCTCAATCCCCTTAACATCTCAAGTATACTTGAAAAATAAATATTCACCTTCTCAAAGAGTCCAGAAACTTAAAATAATGAATATGGCCCTCTTAGCATCTGTCTTATTTATATTCAGCTCCTTATTAGGTGAGATATAAAGCTCTGGAATTTAAGTCTGGAAAATCTATGCCAAAGGGCAACTTGTTTCTTTTCTAATCTTGCACAAGTAACAATTTTCTAAGCTTCAGATTCCTCATCTGTAAAATGGGAACTACAACACTACTTGCCACACCTACTTCAAGAATCACTGCTGAGATTCACATAGGGGCAGACATACATAAGAATTTTTAAACAGCAAAGGACTATACAAATGTTGGTTGCTACCTTAGGTGGGGCACTATTATAAGCAGGAAAAAAAACAGATACAAATAGGATGAAAAGAAGAGAAGGTTCTTCCATGTGAAAGAGAAGGGTTACAAACGCGGTGAGGAATAATTTTAGGCTACTGGCTAATACATTCAGTGAAGTGGTATGACACAAAATGGAATTATTATTTAGAAGTGGATCCTCATGCCAACACGTTCACTTTGCACACACAGAAAAAAAAAGAAAAATAAGAAAGATTAGGAGTGGGTGTCCAGCTCTCAGCTCACCAAAATAACTGATAAAGTTCCATTCCGGGAGGGGGGGTGGAGTTAGTTTTGACAGTATATAGTGAACATTACGCGTAAGTAAGAATACTGTTGCATAAGATGAGAGAAGTGAAAGTGTTATTACTAAGCACACCACTGTTAAGTTATCCACAACCCATATACTATAGCTATATATAGGGCATATGATTTTTATAAAAAGCTTTAAGAAAAAAGAAAAGAAAAAGACTATTCCACAATTATCAAACAAACGTAAGTGATTCAGTAGATTGGTTCTCCATAGGAAGCTCTTAGGGAGGTAATACTCCTAAGAAGATACCCATAACAGTGAGGTCAGGGGTGTTCTAGGAGCCTGTAGGAGACACAAACTGTTTATGAATCATTACAAACCAGCAAAACAAGAGGTGTGGTTTCAGAAGATCTGCTTGCCTTAACCCAATACAGGGGTTTACTCTCTAAGTGGTCTAAGATATTCTATAATAGGGTCAAACAGAAAACTGAATTTTTTGAAAAGGCATCAGACAAATGACATTGACTATGCTTATACGAGCGACATGGTGTACATGCACACCAACTAGACAGAGTGAAGATGACTAATCCATAGGGATAACACCAGGGACCAAATCATCAGTAACCATGACAACTCAAGTAGGTGGAGGGAAATACAAACACTGACCAGGCAGCGGGGTGACACTACTCCTTCAGGTAGAGACCCTGGGGTCTGAAAAAGACTTGATGAGTGGGGGAAGCCGTGCGAGAATGAAACCGACTAGCCCCAGAGGACCAGTGTCCGTGCAGGAGGGCTCGGTGGTGACACTAACACTCCCCATGGGCGGCCCGCAGGGGTCACAGGCTCATCTATAGGAGACTGGACGCCTATAAGACTGAAAAGGGAGTTACCTGGTGCAGGGCTGTCAAGCCGTCCACGTTGACCGTGTTGATGTCGGCACCTCTGGCCAGAAGCTTTTTCACCTCGTCGGTGTCCCCGCTAGAGCAAGCGGCCAGGAAAACAGCACCGTCCTCGAAGCGGACCCTAGGGCTCCCGCGACGAGTCTGCGGCTGCCGCCCCGCGCCTCGTCGCTCCGCGGGTTCCTGCTCTGTCAGCGAGCCCCGCCAGCGCCGAAGCTGCTCAGCCCGCCGCATTCGCGCAGACTCTGCCCGCTTCCCGCCCAGGTGCTCTAGCTCAGCCATTGCTCTGGCCTCAGCAGCTGCTGCTGAAACTACCCCCCCTGGATTGCTATTGCTGCCCCAGTTGCCGCTGCAGCTTCCCTCGGAGCGCTTCAGCCGGGAGCAGAAGGCGGAGACCCCCGCACCGCCATCTTTACTCCTCCCGCCAGTAGCACCGCCCGCTCGCTCCCTCGGCTTCAACACGCAGGCGCTGCCCGCGCCTCGGGTCATCACGGGACTCGTAGTGAGAGACGGGCCCTAAGGGCAGATCATGGCCTTGAGGGAACTACAAATCCCTGGATGCATCAGGGAAGAGGCGAGGACCCGCTGCTCCCTACTTCGCCGCCGGACCCAGAGGGGTCACCTTTGCCCTAAAGCTGGAATTGTGTCCCCGACCGGCGTCAGCCTCTTCGAGCATTTCGGGAATTGTAGTTTATTCCTGTTGTGACTGCTGCCTAATCTTGGCTCCCTAATTATCACATCAGTCCTTTGAAATGGAAAAGAGGCAGTAATTATCCCTATTTTCTATTGGGGAAAACTAGACATAAAGTACTCGAAAAACTCAAATCTATGCCGATTCTAAATCTAAATCTTATTTACATTACAACGTATAATACATTACCGTGTATTAATCACAGTAAACGCAAAGGTGCATGGGGAGGAGGAGCATGGATACATATACTGCATCCCAAATTATACATAAATTCTTTCAACGAGTCACTTATATTTTGGGCCCTAAAAAGATCCAGGAAAGGATGCATCCAACGATAGTGGAAATATAAAAGCTTTCAATTCAAACTGAATTCACATCCCTAAACAAGTTACTTGATTTCCCCGAGGCTGTTTCCTGATTTGTAAAAGTGATAATAGTAATACCTCACAGAATAGTCCTGTGGATTAAATAATACATGCAAGGCTACCTAGTACTATACTTGGCACATACCAGCTCACTAATATACTAATTAAATACTAATTTCCCTTCTTTCTCCCTCCTCCTTCTCTACCCTTTTCATGCATCTTAAATTCTTAGGAGACAGAGTGGATGCCTTCCTTGTCTTTTGTGATTTTTCCCCCCAAAGTTACAAAAAGACAACAATGGGGCATACTAAACTCCTAAGGCAGCAAGCATGACATTTTCATATTTACAGTGAACTTGGTTATAAAACCTGTACGATTGATTTAATACTTATACCCCCAGGGCCATAGCCCTGGACAAAATATAATTAAATGTGCTGTCCATAATGAAAGAGAACATATACAATTATTAGGTTCTGTAAGTTTTCAAATAGTCTTCTGTATGTTTAAAATTTTTCATTAAAAATGATTACAAGAGTGATTAGGACATTGTAAAGGGAAACTTTATTATATTCCATTGTGAACATTTGTGGGTGCTTCAACTTCCCCCTGAGATGAACTGAGAATTAAATGAAAAATGACATGCAAATGCAAAATGTTTAATACCGTGCCTGTCCACAATATGCTTTAATTAGGTATTCTTAAATACTTTATAAATACTACTTTTCTTACTACAGAGTCTTTGTGAAAAGTGAGTAACAATGTGCAATAAAATAATCAAGACATGGGGGCACCTGGGTGGCTCAGTTGGTTAAGCATCTGCCTTCGGCTCAGGTCATGATCCCAGGGTCCTCCGAATGAGCCCTGACTGCTCAGCGGGGAGTCTGCTTCTCCTTCTCCTCCCTTTGCCCCTGCCCCCGCTCCTGCACGCACACTCTCTCTCTCTCAAATAAGTAAAATCGTTTTTTAAAAAATAAAGATTTTATTTGTTTATTTGACACAGAGAGCAAGCGAGAGAGCACAAGCAAGGGTAAGGGCAGAGGGAGAGGGAGAAGCAGGTTCCCTGCTCACTCCCAGGACCCTGGGATCATGACCTGAGCCAAAGGCAGACGGTTAACGGACTGAGCCACCCAGGTGCCCCAACATAATGGTTTTCTAGTAAGAATTTTTAACTGGGGTAAAATTTTCAGGGATCAATGATGTTACATTTCTTTTGGCTATATTATTTTCACATTCAGAATCAGGGAAGAACTATCTGGCTCCAGTTGTATAAATAAGCTAAAATTGGCCAAGTCCAAGTTAAATCCTTCTATTCATAAGAGGTAAACCTAAATTTCAACAGGATGAATTCAATTTCAATACTAGGAAGTTCCAGGAAATACTTCCTTACTATATCTCTTTCATTTGCTTCCCCCCGCCCCCGAGGTTGTTAGAGTATATAATATCCTCTTTGGAGATTGTCCTAAATTCCTTGGATAATTTAAGTGCATCCCTACCTGGAAGGGAGAGGAATTTATCTTCAGCTACATGATTACAAAAAGCAGTAATAATTATTATAATCCATTTAATTTAACTGGCTCAACAGAAAAAAAGTTATGCCACAGAAAATAAAACAAAATTAATCTGTGTATAATGGCTCAAAAAGTTTTTCAAAATTAAAATCACGGAAGTTTTTTTCTTAAACATCTTCCCCCAACCAGGACTTTCTGAGAGTAAACTTATATAATCAGCCCATTAAACAAACATGATAGTTTAGATTTACTAAACAAATACTCTATACTAAAGAAAATCTTTTATACTCAAGTTACTCAAGTTGAGTAAATCCTGGCAAATAATCCTGTGTATAAATAAAATATAATTTTTGTGCTTTTAAATGTACTAAATGAGCCGGCTATGATGCATCTATATTCTTGTGTGAAGAAACTTTTGTTAAATAATTTCCCACACATACACTTAAAAAATAAATCACAATATAAAATGGGGCACCTGGGTGGCTCAGTCACTTGAGTGTCTGCCTTTGGCTCAGGTCATGATCCCGGGACCCTGGGATCGCGCCCTGCGTTGGGCTCTCTGCTCAGCAGGGAGCCCTCTTCTCCTTGTGCGCACTCTCTCTCTAATAAATAAATAAATAAAATGCTCCCTTTTTAAAAGCAATGACACCTATACACAGGTAACGAAAAATTTTCCGCCTGGCCTCTATTCTCACCAGTTAACATACCTCCCTCTGGTGGACAAATGGAAACTGTACATTTAGCCTGTGGAGTTCTTTCTACCTTTTTTCTTTTATTCAATCCTTTCAGTTTAGTTGCCAAAATTATTTTTTTAAAGATTTTATTTATTTATTTATTTGACAGAGAGAGAGAGAGAGAGACAGCGAGAGAGATAACACAAGCAGGGAGAGTGGGAGAGGGAAAAGCAGGCCTCCAGCCGAGCAGGGAGCCTGATGTGGGGCTCCATTCCAGGACCCCGGGATCGTGACCTGAGCCGAAGGCAGTTGCCCAACCAACTGAGCCACCCAGGTGCCCCTAGTTGCCAAAATTATTGGTATTTGCTTGTTTTATGATACCATTTCTCCTTTCCCAGACTCAACACGGTTCGTGCTTTTTCTAAGAGACCTTTTATTTTTTTTTTAAGATTTTATTTATTTGGCAGAAAGAGACACAGCAAAGGAGGGAACACAGGCAGGGGGAATGGGAGAGGGAGAAGCAGGCTTCCCGCAGAGCGGGAAGCCCGATGCAGGGCTCGATCTCAGGACCCTGGGATCATGACCTGAGCGGAAGGCAGACGCTTAACGACTGAGCCACCCAGGGGCCCCTCTAAGACACATTTTAAAGACTCCTTTGTCAGAGAACCACCCAAAGAAGTGATCAGTTTCAGTTCTGAAGACAGAATTGTAATTGAAATACAATTACATTTGGGGTAGGAAGAAAATAAAGAAGACCGTTGAAGGAATTAAAACAAAATATCCATAGTAAAATAAGCAGCCAACTCCAGATTTATGACAGAAAACACTTCTCTACAATGAGTAAATATTAACAATAAATGCAACACCCCAGCAGCTAACTGGAAATTAGATTGGACAGTCCCAGGATTCCTTATGTTTGTAATTCATAAGCTACTTCAGTTGATTCATTCTTACAACCAACGTGAGGATCCCCAGGTAGAATCATGGACAGAGTGCTAGTGAATGTGGGGATATCTGGAGGAGAGGTAACATACATGCAGCGGGCTCCGGGAACCAAGCGCTACTTAACACCAATGTGGACTAAATACAGAAATCACTGCAGTGGCCAGAAGTATGTCGGTTTGCAAGTTTAGAAAGACTGGCCATTACTCTTATGCGACCACTGTTCCAAAGCCACACAATGAGCTGAAAGCAGTGAGATAAGGGTTTGGTGTGTGGTGGTGGTGGTGGTGGTGGTGGTGGTGGTGGTGTTTTTCCACCACAGTATTCCCAAAGGCTAGTCAAGTTGCAGCCGTGTCTTTAGATTCAGGTCAGGTCCGAAGTCAAGGCTGGTTTAGCCATAAACGGGTACTTCCTTCATCAAGTAGTACCACACTTTTAGAGTTGGAAGGCCTCAAAGCCATCTCTTCTAAACTTCCACCCACGCAGGGATCCTCTTTACACTATCCCGAATTCCCCTTGAACACTTGCAGTGATGAAGGAATTCACTACGTCCCAAGTTTACCTGTTCCGTTCTTCAGGGTTCTAACTGCTAGAATGCTTTACTGAGCTAAATTTTGCAATCCTTTAACTTTCATCCATTAGTCTTAGATGTGTCCTCTGACGCAGTAAAATTCTCCAGGTGAAAAACACTTAAAATGAAGAGAGGTATCACGCAGTCCCTACTCCAGTTCAAGTATTTCCGGTTCTCTTCATTGTTCCTCCTCTGAGGCGATTTCCAGCTCCTTCCCCGCTCTGACAAAGAAAGCTGACATCGTAACCCAACTTGACACCTCAGGGCCAGACCAAATGATGCAGCCCTCCCGAACTGCCGAGAACCTCCGCCCCGATCAACAGCTCCGTGTACGAGGGGGAGTGGCTACGTCTGACGCGCGCTCTAATTTGAAAGCGGCGGGAGCGGAAGCCGGGCTCAGAGCACTGTCCAATAGGGGGATGCGCTCCTCCCCCGGGCATTGCCGCGGGCCAATCGCAAGCCCCTCGTGGCGGAAGGCGGAGCGACGCCAACCGTCTGGGCGTGCGCAGGCGTGGGGAGTAGCTGGTCCGCGCGTCGCTACGTTGTGAGGTGAGTACGGCCAGGTAAGAGGGTTGTTTTGTGGCCCCCCCCCAGCGGAGAGAGCGCATCCCGGCGGTGGTCCCTGTGAGTGTCAGGGACCAGGAGTCCTGTTTCGGTCTAATGTGGGAGTTTCCTGTCTTCTGAAGGGACAAGCGGCTGTTGAGCGGAGGCTTTGCCGGAATCTCCGCAGCCCGTCGGCGGCCAGAGCTCCCCGAGCCGCCGGTGCCCCGCAGGGAGAAGTGTGTCCCTGGGAAGGAGACTCCGCTGCCCGGCGCTCGCTGCGGGGCCGCGCACAGGCCGGCGTTTTGCCTTCTCCACCATCTGGTCCAAAACCCACGTTTCCAACACTAGTTACAGGGCTGCATACTGGTAGGCATTGTTGACTTAAGAATTAAAAAAAAAAAAAAGAAATTACGAAGACTACACCCGCCCTTCAAGGGATTTTCGCCCTACGAGAAGAAGCTGTCAGAGATGAGTAACAACTCCCGGTGCAAGTTGGTGTGGAAGCACAGAGAGGGTGACAAATGAAAGGAGTGAAGGATTGGGGCGCATTACTAGAGAAGGGCAAGAAGTGATCATTTAATGTGTAATATCTGTAGATGTGAAAGAAGATGAGACTCTTAATGGGCAGCAAAAAGAAGTCGGTGTGGCTGAAGCACAAATTTGTGGGGAGTGGTTACTGGATATGAAGTTGGGGTTTGATTGTAAAGAACCTTTGTGCCCAGAAAATGCGCACTAATTGATGGCTTTTGAGCTAAGGAGTGCCATATACCAATTTGTGTTAATATAGTGAGACTGGGGTCGGCCTCCATTAGAGAAATTGTCTTGCTTATTCCTCACCCTATTCTACTCCCTTTCCCGTGCCTTTCCCCTGGGTTCTCATTTTACTATAAAGGTACGCTCTATTTCTTGTGGATTCTTGTCTTATTGTGGTCGCTTTCTTAGCATCTGCTTACTGAGAAAAGTAGTAGGGATTTGTATATAAAACGGGAGGTTAATTATCCAGTGAAACGCCTGCCTCCAAAAGATGATGGTCTTATGGGTGCATCTAAGGAAATTTGGAAGTACTTTAAAGAATAATTTATATGAAAGACTGTTGTAGTGTAATTCTATTTAACAATTTAATTCACCTGTAATATTAATTTCATTTAAATATTTCTGGAAGAGTTTGTGAATTGTGGAGGAGCAGCAAGCCTGGAGATTAGAAAAGGAAAATCCAAGGAACGATTTTGTCTGCAGCACAGAATGTCTTTACCTAGCCAATACACAAATTTAGTCTCCTTTAAACATCCCTGTGGCGGAGGTACACTCAATTTAAGTGTATGATTATCATAAGAACCACCCAATAACTACAATCTGTGCCCACCAGGTAATCTTCTGATTATAATTAGTTTTCCAAATAGAAATAGTGTAAGGCGGGAATGTATGGGATTAAAAATAAAAATTTTATCATAGTTGTACAAATTAATAAATTGACCTTTCAATGTAAAGCCTTTGTGAGTGAGCCTGGAATAAATTAGTACATGTAAGCCCAACTGAATCTAGGTTTACTGCCAAGTTGAGTATTCGGTTTACAAAACTGAGAACCAGATCCTGAGATGTATATACGTGTGGACTTTCATGAGGTGATTCTAAAACTCATGGAAAAGCAGAGGATCAAGAATAACCAAGCTATTCCTGAAGAAAAAGAACAAGGTGTAGGAACGCAACTTACTACATACCGTCTTATTAATAAGCTACAGTAATTAAAACAGTGAGGTATTGGCTCAAAGATAATCCAATTGACCAGTGGGACAAACTGAAGAATCTCAAGACAGATCCACACATATATGCAAATTTAGTTTATGACCATATCAGCGGGGAAAGGAAAGACTTTCTAAAAAACAGAACTAGGACAATAGGTTATTCATATGGAGGAAAAGATCCAAAATTGGACCTCTACCTCACACTACACACAAACATCAATTCCTACTGGATTAAATGTGAAAGCAAAATTGTAAAACATTTCGAAGATACAGACCAATATCTAAGTTTGGGGATAAGGAAAAATTTAATACATAAAAGTGTAAGTGTACAGGAAAAGGTTTTAAAATTGATTACGTTAAAGTTAATAGTTGTGTATCTGTCAAAAGACATGAGTAAAGTGGAAAGACATGCCACAAACTGGAAGATAGTGTATGTAACTCATAAAAAAATCGGTATCCTTTGAGTGGCAGCTAAAGGGAGTAGAGGTACGAAGGGTGTTGAGTGTGTGTAGGTGTGGGTGTTTGTTTTAGATGAGAGAGATTTTGAGCATATTTGAATGTTGATGGGGAAAAGGTTGGAAATAGTGAAGCATTGGGAGGATGTGGAATCCAGAATACATGGAGAAAACTTCACACATGTAAGCATTCAACTTACAAATACTTCAGAGTGAGACTATCTCCATCATATTCATTCCTTGCTCTCCTCACAAAGCATATATAGACTTCCACAGCTAATATTTGTCAAGCCTTTTCTATGCCAGGTATACTGAGGATGCAGTGGAGAGCAAAATTAGACCCAGGCTGTACCTCCTGAGTTTATAATTTATCAGTGGAAACAGACATTAATTGAAAACTTGTAGTGTTTTTGTTGTTTGTAGAGCATTTTGCATTTTTAATCTTTATTTTTAAAATGTGCTTGAATAGATAACAGAAAGGAAATGGAAAAAACTCAGATTTCTTTCTCAGAATAGGGATTAATATGAAGAATTTGTTTTGTTTTTCACTAAACTGAAGCCATGTGCTAAAAACTCGAGGCACCATTGCTGACTATTTCATGGTTGTCCCTTTTCTCCCTAGTGAATCCCAGCCAGCTTCTAGTGTGGTGTAGTGAACTGTGTGTGGTTCCTTCTACTCGGGGACCATGCAGAGAGCTTCACGTCTAAAGAGAGAGCTGAACTTGTTAGCCACAGAGCCACCCCCAGGCATCACTTGCTGGCAAGATAAGGACAAAATGGATGATCTGCGAGCTCGTAGGTATCAATGTCATGCCTATGATGACCCTATTGAAAATTGTGCTGAAATCTGAACATTTGTATATTCTAAACTAGAGAACAATGACAAGGTCAAAGTACCTTATCATCTTTCTAAACCTAATTTGTTTACACGTATAAAAGGTTTGCTTGACATTTCTTCTCTGGCCTTTTTTACACCTTTTGCTGATTTATAGCCAAGATTTGGGCGTCAGCTCTGAAGCAGTGTTTAGACCAAAGATCACCATCTCAAATATCTGTGAGGCCAGACAGGAAACATAATCAGAATACTGCAGTACAGACAAAACAAATCTGCAGCTTATATTTGATCTGTGGTCAGTATTGTCCAACTTCTATTTTGATCTTCTTTCTGTCCTTTGACACCATCAGTTTTTGGGGTACATTGGTGCATTGCATGAGAAGCTTGTTAAAGCCCTAAGAGGAGAGAATTACTGTCCTAGACCCAGCTTTCCTTTAGGACCATAGACTTTATTAGGACTGTATGGTGTGGTCGTTCAGACCTTCTGATTACCTCTTAATTTCTTTCTTTTTTTTCTTTTAAGAAATATTAGGTGCGGCTGACACACCTTATGAAAAAGGTGTTTTCAAGCTGGAAGTTAGCATTCCTGAGAGGTTAGTGTGAATTAGATTTCTTTTTTTTCTTTGAGAGAGAGAGAGAGCACATGCAGAGTGGGTAAGGGCAGAGGGAGACAGAGAGAATTTTAAGCAGGCTCCACACCCAACACGGGGCTGGATCTCATGACCTGAGCCAAAATCAAGAGTTGGACGCTTAACTGACTGAGCCACGCAGGCGCCCAGTGTGAATTAGATTCTAAACTTACAGGGTAAAGGACGGTTATTGGAAGATAGAGTCATGTAGTAGTGTTAAATGTAGGAGTTAAAGGTCCTAGGTTTTAATCCTAGTCTTATCAAAATGTAATGTGACCTTGGGCAAGTTATTTTATCTCTCTGGAGTTCAAATTCCTTCTCTAAAAATGGGCTAGATCACATCTAAGGCCCCTCTTTTCTTCATTGTGTTAAAATATACATAACATAAAATTGATCATTTAAACCATTTTTAAGTGTTTGGTTCAGTGGCATTAAGTATATTCACGTTGTCATGCACCTGTCACCATAATCCATCTCCAAAGCGTTTTCATTTTCCCAGACTGAAACGCCATACCTGTTCAGCAATAACTTGCCAGCTCCCTGGTCCCCCAGCACCTGGCAACCACCATTCTCCTTTCTGTCTTTATGTTAAGGCTCCTCCTAATTCAGGTCTCCTTTAAGGTTCTCATCAAGTGAGTCGTAGTTGTAGTTTTGTGCAGAATGGGGAAGGGAAGAAATGAATGAATGACTGTTGATATGTAGATGTCTTTTCACTAGATCAGATCCTGGCCAAACTTGTTAAAGTCCTGAGAGAAGTAGCTTGATAATCATGTGATACATCAGTTCTGAAAATAGGCTGGGCATTTTCCAAGGTTTGTGTCTCATTAAAAAGGCATAATAACCAAATGCAGTGGGGGCACCTGGGTGGCTCAGTTAAGTGTCTGACTCTTGATTTCGGCTCAGGTCATCATCCCAGGGTTGTGGGATTGAGCCCTGTGTTGGGCTCTGTGATCAGTGGGGAGTCTGCTTGAGAGTCTCCCTATCCCTCAACCCCTCCCCCCCACACATGCGCTGTCATGCTCATTCTCTCAAATGAATAAATCTTTTAAAAAAATGCAGTGTATAAATCTTTTTTTTTAATGTTTTTATTTATTCATGAGAGTCAGAGAGAGAGAGAGAGAGAGAGAGAGGCAGAGGGAGAAGCAGGCTTCCTGCGGAGCAGGGAGCCCGATGCGGGACTCGATCCCAGGATCCTGGGATCACAACCTGAGCTGAAGGCAGACGCTTAACCATCTGAGCCACCCAGGCGTCCCGCAGTGTATAAATCTTAATTTGATCCTGTTTTTCAAAACCTATCTGTACAAAAAGTGGGGGGCAATTGAGGAAATCTGAATAGTAGATGATATTGGGAAATACATTTTTAATTTTTTCAGAGGTATACTGATAGTATTGCAGTTATATAGGAGAATGACCTTATTCTTGGGAGATATGTGCTCAAGTATTTACAGGATGAAGCGGTTTGATCTAGGTGGTGGGTACATGAGTGTTTTTAATGCTATTATTTCAACTTTTCTATTGTTTGTAAGGTTTCATAATAAAAATTTGAGGAGAAAAAAGGTTTGTCTCTCAAAGGCTGTCTTCCTAATTAGTCACCAGGAAGCCTTTATTATTATATGTTTATAATGAAACAATACGTTAATAAAAATTCTCTATTATCCTGTGTTTTCAAAGGTACCCCTTTGAACCTCCTCAGATCCGATTTCTGACTCCAATCTATCATCCAAACATCGATTCTGCTGGAAGGATTTGTTTAGATGTTCTCAAATTGCCACCAAAAGTGAGTGGTGGGGAAAGGGTGGACACAGCATTCTGTGATTCTCATCTATAAAACTGGAATTAGAGTATCACATTCTTAGTAATACAAAAGCAGCTGCCTATCTTCTGTATATAGGGCGCCTGGAGACCATCCCTCAACATTGCAACTGTACTGACTTCTATTCAGCTGCTCATGTCCGAACCCAACCCCGATGACCCCCTCATGGCTGACATAGTAAGTGTTCTCTTGTCCTCTGCGGCGCACGTCCTGCTTTCTGCATACCTCTGATTTTTCATTTATGAGGATAGCTGTGGCAGCTGCAGCTTAACCACTACAAAGCATTTTTCTCTCCATTGACTCTTCTTTGATTTTGTCTCAGTCCTCCGAATTTAAATATAATAAGCCAGTCTTCCTCAAGAATGCCAGGCAGTGGACAGAGAAGCATGCAAAACAGAAACAAAAGGTATGATGATTGTACAGTTCTGATTTTGCTACTGTTGTTAATCCATTCAAAGTGTATTTATCACGGGCGCCTGGGTGGCTCAGGCGGTTAAGCGACTCCCTTTGGCTCAGGTCATGATCCTGGAGTCCCGGGATCGAGTCCCGCGTCGGGCTCCCTGCTCGGCAGGGAGTCTGCTTCTCCCTCTGACCTTCCTCCCTCTCATGCTCTCGCTCTACCATTCTCTCTCTCTCAATAAATAAATAAAAATCTTTTTTTAAAAAAAAGTGTATTTATCTGTAAATGCGTAAATGGTTATTAACTTTGCCAAATTTGTAACGTACTCTAGAGTAGCTAACTGACTTTTTTCTCCTATTATAACTTTCTAAATAGTTATTCAACAAAATAGCCTGGTAGCTCAACCAACAGTATATTTTTCCTAACAGTTGTCATCTTTGACAACACTAGAGGGCAGGCAGCATCTGCTTAATGTTTTTTTATATTCTTGGGGTAGCATGGATAGATGAGAGGTGACTCTGATTCTTTTTTTGAGGTTTTCTTTTTTAACACTGAGAAGGGACTATTGCAGGAATCGGGAAGGAGTGAGAGAGGTATAGGAGAGAGGGGAAAATGAACATTTCTTATGGGACCATTCATAGAAGCGAGAAGGAAAATTTCCCCAATTTAAGTTGACAGAGCTTCCTCATTTAACAATACAAATTATAGGAACACAAAGATTTGCATATTCTGGTTCTTGCTGAGTTATAACATCCTTCAGATTGAGTTAAGTAGCAGTTACTTATGAAAAGAAATAAAAATTTAAAACATAACAAAAGATTGAAGAAGATGCTTCTGAAGGGAATATCATATACAAGAGGCAACAAAGAAGTACTTGGAAATAATATTAACAGCACTTCATTTGTTCTCCATCCTGGTTCATAGTGTGAACCTTACATTTTACCGTATCTGCTCCTTTTTAGGCTGATGAGGAAGAGATGCCTGAAGATCTGCCAGAGGCTGGTGACTCAGAAGCATGCAACACAACACAGAAAAGGAAAGCCAGGCAGCTGGGAGGCATAGAAAAGAAATTTCACTCTGATGCTTAGGGGTTTGTCCTGGTTGTAGTTAATATATTTTTTGTTAGGATGTTCTAATTTGCCTACCTCTCTTGGATGTTTTTCTTTGTATTTGATGACATTATCATCTTTCGTGTCCTATAAGACAGACCTTGTGTATTTACGTATTCTGCTCTACACTGATTCTCTGAGGCTAGTTTGTTTTATTTAGCTTGTACATATGTAGTTTGAAACCTTTTAAACCTGAAAAATAAATAACCACTTAATGTTGAGTATGTGTTTATTCTGAATGTGTGTCTGGGAGCAAACTGTCCAGAAAGCTATATAATAAGAATGTTAAAATATTTGGAATTGTTGTCTCTTATTTTGCCAACTTACCAACATCACTAGGGACGCTGAATGTTTGACGTAGATGTAAAATCACTGTTGGAAACGATTCAGTTACCACCAGGCTTTCAAGGACTCTAGGTTTTCAGGAGTCTTAACAGAATGTGGGAATAAGGTAATGGACCCTTTTGTTAATTTTTTTGCAGTTTTTACTTTTTGCGATTTACATAGCTGGTCAGAATTACCACAGTAATAAATACTTATTGAACACCTGCTGTGTACCGAGTATTGTGCTCGTGTTTTAGAATGGTGAAAAAAAATCACACGTGAGATTAACCAAATAATCATACAAATTTAAATAAGGATTTTTGTAATCACCTTCTGTCCCTAACTTCATTTCATGGCAAGTACTACTCTGAACAGATAGGTGCCAAACTTGAATCCCTTACTCACGATTTTATAATCATCTCCTTAGACTTTATTATTCTATTGAGATGACAGAGAAAATGGATTTGAGCAGAAATCAGTTGAAGTGGAAAGAGACTGCCCATGCTGAGTGAAAGACTTTCTGAAGAATGTAGATATTAAGAGTCCTAGGTAGAAAAATAAAGACTGTAATATCCCTGTCCGTTACCCAGTGTAGCAGTTTTATCCCAGTGCAGTAGTTTTATACCGAGGCTAGGCACTGTGCACGTAAAATAGTGCATCTCTGAATAGGCAATGTCTGCTCATCCACCTATGAGTTACCTTGTATCCTCACTCAGCACAGCCTGCCACAGATCATGTGTGGTACTGGACTCAAGGCAAACAAGAAGAGAAGTGTGAATTTATATAATCCGTAATGACAGATGATGGCACAAACTGAAAATATAAATTTCTTTTGTATCCCCCACTTCATCAACTTCCAACTTCTCTAGAATTCTTGAACCATTTCTCAAAATTAGTTCTCTTTTTAAAGCCCAGAAATGATTTTGTTGTAGGTTTTTCTCCTATATTCATGCATATAAGCCAGATTCGGGGTTCCTAGATAACATTAGTATATCAGGTGGGATGCTTTCAGCTATGAGTGAAATCCAACTCATACTGGTGACAATACAACACGGGAAGTTCTAATGGAATAAATGGAAAGTCCAGGGGTGGGGTGAGCATCTGAATTGGTGTGTTCAGAGGCTCAGTAACACCAAGATTTCAGTCTCTTTCCACCTGCCATCCAGAGTAACAACTTGTCTTGGTTGTCTGCTCCTTAAACATACTCCCCTTTCAGAGTGACTCCTAGCAGCAGTCAGGGCTATGTACTTTCTAATTCACACCCGGCAGGCCATGGAGCGAAAGTTCCTATAATTGGACCACCCTGAAGCCAGTCACTGTGGTCAGGGAAATGCCATGTGCTGATCAGGGTGAAGCCAGACGTGAAGTGTGAGGGACTTAGGGAATAGCTGTAGGAAAGGAGCCCCTCCTATGGGACAAAACCCCTACACAACGGATCAATCACCAGGTCTGGTCAGTTCTACCAGCCACTTCTCCCTCCCTCTTCTTTTTTTTTTTTTAATGTTTTATTTATTTATTCATGAGAGTCAGAGAGAGAGCGAGGCAGAGGCAGAGGGAGAAGCAGGCTCCCCGCCTAGCAGGGAGCCCGATGTGGGGCTCGATCCCAGGACCCCAGGATCATGACCTGAGCCGAAGGCAGACGCTTAACCATCTGAGCCACCCAGGCGCCCCATCCCTCCCTCTCCTAATACTAGTTCAAGCCATTCTCATCTCACTTGTACTATAGTCCCCTTACCATGTCTCCTTGCCTCCAGCCTTGACCCTCTACAGTCCATACTTCTCAAAGCAGCAAGAATAATCTTTTGATGATGTCAAAACCAGATTTTACCTCCCTCCTTAAAACCCTTGAAGTGGCTTCCTTTTGCAATTAGGAAAATAAAAATAAAAATCCAGTCTCCTTCCCTGGGCCAGAAGACACTGATCTAGCTCCTGCTTGCTTTATCTTTCCATCCTTATGGCATACCCTCTACCCCTATACACCACACTGCAGCCACACAAGCCACTTCCAATCTCTTGAACATACCTAGCTTATTCCTTGTTCAGGGATTTCTACATTGTCCATGATGGTGTCAGCTCAAATATAGCTGTCCCAGAAAGTCCTTGTCTATCCCATCTAAGGGAGCACCTTGAGTCCCAGGCACTCTAGCCTATGGCTCATTACCCTGATTAGCTTTATTCATAGCATTTGTACCTATCGGAAAATGTGTCCATTGTATATACATTGTTCGATTCCAAGTGCTGGGGATATAGTGGCAACAAGAAACTTTTCTCTCTAATTGCAAGAAAAACAGAGCCAAAAGTGATTAGAAGTCATCTATCCATCTCTCTGATTTAGCAAGTACAGAGGACCTGGGCTAGAGAACAGAAATGAGAGAAAATGAGAAAAGCCCAGGTCCATATCCCCAGCCCAAGGAACGATGGGAAAGGGTTAAAAGCATGGACACTGGGGTCAAGGAGGCCCCAGCCTAGCCCTGGCAGTGCTGCTTACCAACTGTGTGCCCTTAGTATGCTCTACAATCTTTCTGTGCTTTGGGTTTCTCCCAAAGAACAGGGATAATGATAGTACCTGACTCATGAGGTAGTTGTGAGGATTGACTTAAGATGATGCACATAAAGCGCCTAGTACAGGGCCTAGCACAGGGCTGACATACTGAGTGCTTAGCTGGGGACTGGGGATGGAGACATAGTGGCCCGACCACAGTTGGGCCCCAAAGAGATGTTCTGCCCCTTGCCTACTCGCCAGTCTGCTCTGCTCCTAGGACAAGCAAGCTGAGTGAAGTTTCCCAGCTACAAACCCCTAATTAAAGAGGAGAGATGACATCCGTGACTAATCATATAAACATTGTAGATTCCAAGCTCCCCTCTTCTGCTGCCCCCACTCCCTCTCCCCACCTCTCCCCAAAAGCTATCTAAATAAGAACAGATTTTACCACCCACCTTGTGGGCAGTCTCTAAGGCTGGGGACGAGCTATTTATCCTTCAGCTGCTGTGGGAATTCAACACACACAAATAAAGCTCCTTTTCCAGCCAAGTGTGTATTTTTCCATCAGCATGTGGCCCCCCTGCCCAGGTTGTCTTGTTTAGGTTGGGGCGGCCTGAGGGAGGGAAGAACAGGGTGGGGGGTAGGGGTGTGTGGTTTCAGAACCTGCTCCCCACGATGGGTAGCTGCAGGACAGCTTGGAGTCCTGCACAGGGCTGCCAGTGAAGCCCAGGGTGATGGACACAGATGTGCTCTGCCCAGAAATAACATGTTCCCCTTTCTCCCTGTTTCTTGGCAAGTTGCCCCTGGCCCCTCCCATGGCTCCCAGGGAGCACCCATCCTTTACCCGACTCCCAGTTTCCATCAAGGATGGCAGGTTATCCAGTGTCTCTCCCACCCCACCCCCACCTCCCATCCCGGCTCCAGGATTTCTCCCCTTCATGTGCTTTCCTCGCTTGCCTTTCCCCTGATCCCACAATATGTCCCCTTCCTTCTGTGGTCTGCATCCTTTAACCAGGACCTTGCAACTCTGCTTCAGAAAAAAGGCCTGCTGAGGGATCTTTCTCCCAAACCTCCCAGCAGAGGCAACTTCCTTTTGGCGGGGAGTGGGGGGGGGGGGTGGGGGGGTGTTTTTATTTATTCACTAGGTTCTCTCCAGACCTGGGAGTTATGTCTGGGGAACTGCCCAAACAGGGTCAGGTGGTGATGTGGTCCCTTCTGGGGGATTGCCTAGGTTTCCCTCCTCTGATGGCCCATGATCTCCAAGGTGTCTCCTAGTGCTGATATCTGGCAGTTCTGTGATTCTCAAACTACCTGTGGGATCCAAGGCCAGAGGCTGCTGGTGGTGTCAGGCTCACTCAGTGATGAAATGAGGTTGGCCTCACCTGCCCTTTCCATTCTCCCCCCTCCTCCAGCACGCTCTTGCCCTGCGTTACCCGCTGGGGCCTCCCACCCGCCTCCCACTATCCCCACCTGCCAGCCTATCCCGACAATCCTCCATCCTTCCTTATTCCCATTCTACAACTGCCCTCTCCACCCTAACAGTTGGTAGGAAGTCAATGGGTTTGCTCCTGGGCCATGGAGAGGGGGTGATCAGAGAGGGGGCTGTCCAAGAAACCTATTTGCAAGTGACAGACTCTAACAAACTCACATGAGCAAACAAAAGTCCTTGTTTCACAAACTGAGGAGTCCAAATGTACTGTCCGCAAGTCTTTAGAAGAACTTGAGATAGGAACCCATCTTGGACCAATCACGGTGGCCAGGGAATAGAATAAACTGAGAAGACTGGCTCACATTCCAGCTCCAGAACCTAGAGTGGAGTCAACCCCACCTGAACCACACGCCTTAGGGAGCCGTGGGGATAGTTGCCTTTAGAAAAGCCCAACGGAAGTTCCTGAAGAACGGAAGCGGTGACTGGGCAGGCTGACGTAGCAGATGCCCCAGGCAAAGGGCCTAACCTGAAGGAATAAGGAACTGTGATGGTGGAATTTCAACCACTGTGCTAGCCACGGGAGGAGCTGTTACAGAGAAGGGGGTCAGGGAACTTGCTGGCCCTTCAAATCTCACCACAGAAATAGCTGCCCACTCTGCTTTCTTATAAAGAGAAAGGACGTGCCCAAAGGGCACGACATAGAGCTACTGAATGGAGGGCCAGTTCTCAGGAATAGAAATGTAGTTCAGACGAGAAGCTATCTGTTGTTCTGTGTTATTTGCATCTTCTGGCCAGATGTCCCCGTTAGGCTGGGAAACATAATTTTTATGGATTACTTAAATATGTTAATTTCGAAAATATCCCCCCCCCACTCAGCAGAAATTAATTGAGCACCTTTTTGTGCAAGGCCCTGTGGAAAGGACTGAAGCCACAACAATGGATAACACCAAGACAGTCCCTGCTCTTGTGGAACCTTTCTGCCATGCCTACTGTCCCTTCTGAGAGAAGAGCCCGCAGCCTTGCTCCAGGGGCAGCTCTGAGCAACCATATTTTGTCCGATGGGAT